TGCCTCATACTGAACCCCATGCCTCATACTGAACCCCATGCCTCATACTGAACCCCATGCCTCATACTGAACCCCATGCCTCATACTGAACCCCATGCCTCATACTGAACCCCATGCCTCATACTGAACCCCATGCCTCATACTGAACCCCATGCCTCATACTGAACCCCATGCCTCATACTGAACCCCATGCCTCATACTGAACCCCATGCCTCATACTGAACCCCATGCCTCATACTGAACCCCATGCCTCATACTGAACCCCATGCCTCATACTGAACCCCATGCCTCATACTGAACCCCATGCCTCATACTGAACCCCATGCCTCATACTGAACCCCATGCCTCATACTGAACCCCATGCCTCATACTGAACCCCATGCCTCATACTGAACCCCATGCCTCATACTGAACCCCATGCCTCATACTGAACCCCATGCCTCATACTGAACCCCATGCCTCATACTGAACCCCATGCCTCATACTGAACCCCATGCCTCATACTGAACCCCATGCCTCATACTGAACCCCATGCCTCATACTGAACCCCATGCCTCATACTGAACCCCATGCCTCATACTGAACCCCATGCCTCATACTGAACCCCATGCCTCATACTGAACCCCATGCCTCATACTGAACCCCATGCCTCATACTGAACCCCATGCCTCATACTGAACCCCATGCCTCATACTGAACCCCATGCCTCATACTGAACCCCATGCCTCATACTGAACCCCATGCCTCATACTGAACCCCATGCCTCATACTGAACCCCATGCCTCATACTGAACCCCATGCCTCATACTGAACCCCATGCCTCATACTGAACCCCATGCCTCATACTGAACCCCATGCCTCATACTGAACCCCATGCCTCATACTGAACCCCATGCCTCATACTGAACCCCATGCCTCATACTGAACCCCATGCCTCATACTGAACCCCATGCCTCATACTGAACCCCATGCCTCATACTGAACCCCATGCCTCATACTGAACCCCATGCCTCATACTGAACCCCATGCCTCATACTGAACCCCATGCCTCATACTGAACCCCATGCCTCATACTGAACCCCATGCCTCATACTGAACCCCATGCCTCGTACTTACACCCGATGCCTCGTACTGAACCCCATGCCTCGTACTGAACCCCATGCCTCGTACTGAACCCCATGCCTCGTACTGAACCCCATGCCTCATACTGAACCCCATGCCTCATACTGAACCCCATGCCTCATACTGAACCCCATGCCTCATACTGAACCCCATGCCTCATACTGAACCCCATGCCTCATACTGAACCCCATGCCTCATACTGAACCCCATGCCTCATACTGAACCCCATGCCTCATACTGAACCCCATGCCTCATACTGAACCCCATGCCTCATACTGAACCCCATGCCTCATACTGAACCCCATGCCTCATACTGAACCCCATGCCTCATACTGAACCCCATGCCTCATACTGAACCCCATGCCTCATACTGAACCCCATGCCTCATACTGAACCCCATGCCTCATACTGAACCCCATGCCTCATACTGAACCCCATGCCTCATACTGAACCCCATGCCTCATACTGAACCCCATGCCTCATACTGAACCCCATGCCTCATACTGAACCCCATGCCTCATACTGAACCCCATGCCTCATACTGAACCCCATGCCTCATACTGAACCCCATGCCTCATACTGAACCCCATGCCTCATACTGAACCCCATGCCTCATACTGAACCCCATGCCTCATACTGAACCCCATGCCTCATACTGAACCCCATGCCTCATACTGAACCCCATGCCTCATACTGAACCCCATGCCTCATACTGAACCCCATGCCTCATACTGAACCCCATGCCTCATACTGAACCCCATGCCTCATACTGAACCCCATGCCTCATACTGAACCCCATGCCTCATACTGAACCCCATGCCTCATACTGAACCCCATGCCTCATACTGAACCCCATGCCTCATACTGAACCCCATGCCTCATACTGAACCCCATGCCTCATACTGAACCCCATGCCTCATACTGAACCCCATGCCTCATACTGAACCCCATGCCTCATACTGAACCCCATGCCTCATACTGAACCCCATGCCTCATACTGAACCCCATGCCTCATACTGAACCCCATGCCTCATACTGAACCCCATGCCTCATACTGAACCCCATGCCTCATACTGAACCCCATGCCTCATACTGAACCCCATGCCTCATACTGAACCCCATGCCTCATACTGAACCCCATGCCTCATACTGAACCCCATGCCTCATACTGAACCCCATGCCTCATACTGAACCCCATGCCTCATACTGAACCCCATGCCTCATACTGAACCCCATGCCTCATACTGAACCCCATGCCTCATACTGAACCCCATGCCTCATACTGAACCCCATGCCTCATACTGAACCCCATGCCTCATACTGAACCCCATGCCTCATACTGAACCCCATGCCTCATACTGAACCCCATGCCTCATACTGAACCCCATGCCTCATACTGAACCCCATGCCTCATACTGAACCCCATGCCTCATACTGAACCCCATGCCTCATACTGAACCCCATGCCTCATACTGAACCCCATGCCTCATACTGAACCCCATGCCTCATACTGAACCCCATGCCTCATACTGAACCCCATGCCTCATACTGAACCCCATGCCTCATACTGAACCCCATGCCTCATACTGAACCCCATGCCTCATACTGAACCCCATGCCTCATACTGAACCCCATGCCTCATACTGAACCCCATGCCTCATACTGAACCCCATGCCTCATACTGAACCCCATGCCTCATACTGAACCCCATGCCTCATACTGAACCCCATGCCTCATACTGAACCCCATGCCTCATACTGAACCCCATGCCTCATACTGAACCCCATGCCTCATACTGAACCCCATGCCTCATACTGAACCCCATGCCTCATACTGAACCCCATGCCTCATACTGAACCCCATGCCTCATACTGAACCCCATGCCTCATACTGAACCCCATGCCTCATACTGAACCCCATGCCTCATACTGAACCCCATGCCTCATACTGAACCCCATGCCTCATACTGAACCCCATGCCTCATACTGAACCCCATGCCTCATACTGAACCCCATGCCTCATACTGAACCCCATGCCTCATACTGAACCCCATGCCTCATACTGAACCCCATGCCTCATACTGAACCCCATGCCTCATACTGAACCCCATGCCTCATACTGAACCCCATGCCTCATACTGAACCCCATGCCTCATACTGAACCCCATGCCTCATACTGAACCCCATGCCTCATACTGAACCCCATGCCTCATACTGAACCCCATGCCTCATACTGAACCCCATGCCTCATACTGAACCCCATGCCTCATACTGAACCCCATGCCTCATACTGAACCCCATGCCTCATACTGAACCCCATGCCTCATACTGAACCCCATGCCTCATACTGAACCCCATGCCTCATACTGAACCCCATGCCTCATACTGAACCCCATGCCTCATACTGAACCCCATGCCTCATACTGAACCCCATGCCTCATACTGAACCCCATGCCTCATACTGAACCCCATGCCTCATACTGAACCCCATGCCTCATACTGAACCCCATGCCTCATACTGAACCCCATGCCTCATACTGAACCCCATGCCTCATACTGAACCCCATGCCTCATACTGAACCCCATGCCTCATACTGAACCCCATGCCTCATACTGAACCCCATGCCTCATACTGAACCCCATGCCTCATACTGAACCCCATGCCTCATACTGAACCCCATGCCTCATACTGAACCCCATGCCTCACGACTCCTCTGCCCGCAGCTTTGGCGATGCCGACACGGTCCACAGCTGGACGGCCGTGCTGCTGGCGGTGGTGATCGTGGTGGTGGCGGCGCTGCTGGCGGGCGTGGGGGTGAGCGTGGCGTGCAACACACGCGGCGTGCGGGAGAAGGTGGCGGCGCTGGCGGTGCTCAAGGAGAGAACGCAGGCGGCGGAGCGCAACAAGAGTGCCTTCATCGCCAACACCGCGCATGAGCTGCGCACCCCCATCATCGGCCTTAAGGGTGCGTGCGTGGGGGCGAAATGGGGTGAGAAGGGTGTGAACGGGCGAGAAGGGTGCATGGGGCGAGAAGGAGCGAGAAGCAGCAAGCAATAATGGAGCCGATGGGGTGGGAATGTGGCGAGCGGGGTGTGTGAGTTGGCGAGAGGGGGCGATGAGGCGAAAAGGGTGGATGAGTGGGAATGGGCTGAGTTAGGCGAGCGAGGCTAGTGAGGCGAGTGAGTCGAGTGAGTCGAGTGAGGCGAGTGAGTCGAGTGAGTCGAGTGAGTCGAGTGAGTCGAGTGAGTCGAGTGAGTCGAGTGAGTCGAGTGAGTCGAGTGAGGCGAGTGAGTCGAGCGAGTCGAGTTAGTCGAGTGAGTCGAGTTAGTCGAGTTAGTCGAGTGAGTCGAGTGAGTCGAGTGGTGTCTTATAGTACACAAAGTATGAGCTGCTGATGAGTTGGTTCATGTGAACCAGAGCACCTGCTGATTGTTTTTGTTTTTTACCATGCGAGGGGCTAGCGTTTGCTATGCGAGAAGTTTCGTTGTCATGTGCACACACTGTGTGGTGTGTTGGCACCCGTGTGACTGGATTGCTCCCACCAACTGTACCGCCCCCCTGCCCCCGCACGCATGTTGGACGAGCTGGCGGAGCTGTTATGGCGATACCCCTTTCACTGGATTGCCGGCACCCCTCTTACTGAATTCTTTGTGGCCCCCCCTTCCCTCCCCGCCCCCATTTCTCTCCCTACAGGCATGTTGGGGGAGCTGGCGGAGGGCCAGTTATGCTGACACCCTTCTCACTGAACTGTTGGCACCCCCTGGTGTCCCCCCCTCCATTCCCTCTGGACCCTACAGGCATGTTGGAGGAGCTGGCGGAGGGGCACCGCTCTTACTGATTCTCTGTGCGCCCTCCCCTTCTCCCCTGTCCCCACAGGCATGTTGGAGGAGCTGGCGGAGGGGGAGGTGGACGGGGGGCAGAGGGAGGACGTGGGGACGGCGGTGGGCGAGGTGGAGCGCATCGTGGCGCTCATCAACGTCGTGCTCGACGTCTCCAAGGCCGAGGCCGGCCGCCTCCACCTCGAGACCCTGCCCTTCCACACGCGCTCCTGGCTCAGGGATGCTCTGCACTCCCATGCCTGCGCCGCCCACGCGTGCAACCTCACCTGTAATACTCTGGCGTTCAAGGCTGGAACCACGGCCAATTCAGCACCTACCTCACACCCAATCCGTGCTCTTTTTCCTATCACCCGTTTTCCGGCCCTTGAAGCTTTTGCCCCATCACTCTTGTGCTTCTCCACTGTCAGATTTCTGTCTTCCATTCTTCTCATTATTAACTCTCTCATGCTGTGCCGCTCTGAATCCCTGTGCGTGTGCCCATGCCCAGTCGCGTGCCGTGTGGATACGAGTGTGCCCGAGGTGCTGGAGGGGGACTACATGCGCCTGCAGCAAGTGCTGGACAGCATTGTGGGTGAGTCAAGTGGTGGACAGCATTGTGGGTGAGTCAAGTGGTGGACAGCATTGTGGGTGAGTCAAGTGGTGGACAGCATTGTGGGTGAGTCAAGTGGTGGACAGCATTGTGGGTGAGTCAAGTGGTGGACAGCATTGTTGGTGAGCCACCTGGGCTCAACGGGCTGTTGTGTGCTGAAGTCAAATGGGTTGTTAGACTTTCTCTGCTGGTCCCATTGTTGTGGTCATTGTTTCCCCCCCCATGCTCTGGTTGTCCTTCCAATCACACAACTACTTTTCTCTCTGTCCTCCTTTGTTCTCCACACATCCTGTACGCACCTGCTGCTGCAGACAACGCCATAAAGTTCACGGCCAGCGGGGGCGTGTGTGTGCGGCTGCAGTGCCTCCCCCCCCACACCCACATCCCCACCCACCTGCTCTCCCTCGGCTGCCTCCTCGTTCAACCTACCCCCGCCTCCTCCTCGCCTGCTGATGCTGCTGCGGCTACTGTCGCTGCTGCTGCCACCGCTGATGCTGCCACTGCTGCCCCCACGGCTGCTGCTGCTGTGCTTGGCAGTGAGCAGGGGCGAGCAGAGAGGGCGTGGAGGGAGCACGTGGAGCGTCGTGGGGTGGGGCAGCAGGGCGTGGAGCGGCCCGGGGTGGGGCAGCAGGGCGTGGAGCGGCCCGGGGTGGTGTGGGGCGTCATGGCCGACTGGCCTCCACATCTGGCGTCGCTCCTCACACGCTTCCTCCCGCCCCCCTCACACTCGCCACTCGCCAACGATGGGCGTGAGGGTGGTGAGGAGGGAAGGAAAGGGGAAGGGGAGGCAGAGGGGGAGTGGGAAAGCGAGGGGCAAAGGGAGGATGGGCGCAGAGAAGACGGGGAACGTGGGAGAGGTGAGTGGGAGGGTGCAGCAGTGCGGGCAGTGGGTGGTGGGGATGCGGCAGGAGGTGCATGTGTGCAGCAAGGGCGGGAGGAGGGTGGAGAGCGGAGGGGCGAGGGAGAAAGTAGCGTTGCATGGAGGCGGGGAGAGGGGAGAGGAGAGGGGAGAGGAGAGGGTGCTTCGCTGAGGCACGGCGGGGAGGAGGAAGGGGGTGGCGTTGGTGGTAGAGCCGGGCGAGGTGGTGGTGTGCGTGAGGGGGGTGGCACTGGCGCACAAGAGGTAGGGACGGTAGCAAGAGCAGCAGCATTAGGAGCGGGTCGTGCTGTGGGCTGGTGGAGCGAATTAGTGGGGAGCTGGTGGCGCAGGCGGGGCAGAGGAGAGTGCACAGTGGTGGAGGAGGATGCTGACAGGCGGTGTGTGGTCCTGCTGACGTGTGAGGACACGGGGTGTGGCATCGCAGAGGAGGAGCAGCGCGACGTGTTTCAGGCGTTCATGCAGGTGAGCCCTGCCCCTCATGCAGGTGAGCCCTGCCCCTCATGCAGGTGAGCCCTGCCCCTCATGCAGGTGAGCCCTGCCCCTCATGCAGGTGAGCCGTGCCGTCGTGCCATGCACGTGGTGTTGTGTGATTTATGATTCATGCTGGTGATGGCAATTTGATGAGTGCCTGCATGCTGGTGATGGCAAGTTGATGAGTGCCTGCATGCTGGTGATGGCAAGTTGATGAGTGCCTGCATGCTGGTGATGGCAAGTTGATGAGTGCCTGCATGCTGGTGATGGCAAGTTGATGAGTGCCTGCATGCTGGTGATGGCAAGTTGATGAGTGCCTGCATGCTGGTGATGGCAAGTTGATGAGTGCCTGCATGCTGGTGATGGCAAGTTGATGAGTGCCTGCATGCTGGTGATGGCAAGTTGATGAGTGCCTGCATGCTGGTGATGGCAAGTTGATGAGTGCCTGCATGCTGGTGATGGCAAGTTGATGAGTGCCTGCATGCTGGTGATGGCAAGTTGATGAGTGCCTGCATGTTGGTGATGGCAAGTTGATGAGTGCCTGCATGTTCCTCATCGTTTCACAAAGCATCATTCTATGTTTGATGCACCTCTCAATCAAGCTGTTTTGCTCGGGTATCAGTTGATTGCACACTCTGCACTCATTGTGAAAGTTTTGCCTGCATGAATGCACCACCCACAGCTGCACCGTCACTGGCTTGTCAGATACTATTTAGTGTCATCAGCACACCCTTCTTCGTAATACACCTTTCCCCACCAGGCACACCAGAAGAGACATGCGCATGGCGGTAGCGGCATGAGCCTTCACTTGTCTCGCCAGCTGGTGAGTCCTGTGTCACAGAAGCAAAGGTGTCCTTCCATGTAGCTTGACTTCTTCCCCTCGGCTGCTGTTCTCTAATTGCTAGTTTTCAGCTCAGCACTTTCCAACTCCCTCTGCATATTCTTCTCCTTCACTTCTCATCTCATTGCGTCCCTTGTGCATTGCCCACGTTGTCTGCCTCTTTCAATGCCCCCCACGTGCCAACTTGTCACAGGTGTCTCTGTTGGGCGGCAGCATGGGTCTCATCAGCACAGAGGGCATCGGCACCACTCTTCACGTCGCTATGCCCTTCGATGTTCCCGCGCCTCCTGCTTCTGCCGCTGCTGCTAATTCCCATGCTGCCAGTTCCGTCCCCAGCGCGGGTTATGGTGCTGGCTGGAGGGCCGCTCCTGGGTCCAGCCCCGTTACCAGAGTGGGCAACAGAAGCTTGAGTGCGAGCGAGGGAGGGCAGGGATGGGGAGAGGTGGAGGGCGCAGGCGTAGTGGAGGGGGCGGGTGGGAAGGTGGTGAGCACCAAGGACGCTCTCAAGGAGATGCTTCAGGGCATGGCGATCCTGGTGAGATGCGAAGAAAGGGAATCTTAGTGAGAAGCATTGAAGGGCGATCCTGGTGAGCCCTGTGTGTACCTACCATTCATCCTCCTCACAAACGCCACCCTGTTCTTTATCATGCAGGTGGTGGGCGACAACTTGACCCACCACATGCCATCTCGTGCCATCTCATGCCATCTGTTTTCATCCCTCTTGATCGACCACACGACCATGCCACCCATCTGTCTTCTCTTGCAACCTCTCCTTCTCGAGCTCTCCTCCCCAAAATTTCTTCCGCTATCAGCCAGTTGGTGGGACGGCACATGCCATTCCTGTCCCTCCGTTCTCATCCCCTCTTCAACCCCCTCCATGCCGCTCACTCTCGCTGCACCAGGTGGTGGACAACGGTGCCATTAGCCGTCCCTTGGTGCTCATCCCCTCCCCACCAACCTTCCTCTCTGCCCCGATGCCTGGTTGCACCACGTGGTGGACGACAACGCCATCAACCGCATGCCATCTCCGTTGCTCCAATTCTCATCCCCTCTCCACCTTATCTGTTCCCAGGTGGTGGAAAACAATGCCACCAACCGTTCTCAGCCCCTCTGCACCCCTCCCTGTACCCTTTCTATCCACCAGGTGGTGGACGACAATCCGATCAACCGGCGGGTGGCAGCGAGCACGCTGGCGCGGTACGGGGCGGAGGTGGCGCTGGCAGAGTCGGGCGAAGCGGCGCTGCGCCTGCTGCAGGCACGCCACTCCTTCCGCCTCGTGCTCATGGACCTCCACATGCCCGCCCTGGACGGCTTTCAGACCACCGCCCGCCTGCGCGCCCTCGAGGCCGCCGCCCCCACGGCCCAGGGTCGGGTGCAGGGAGAACAGGTGGGTTGGCAGTGGCGACGGCGTGTTCATGTGGTGGCCATGTCAGCAGATGTGGACAGCACTGTTGCCGCTCGTGCCACCGAGGCTGGCATGGATGGAGCCATGCAGAAGCCACTCAATGAGAGAATACTACTGCAGGTGCTCTCAACACTAAATAGTTTGTAACTTTACCTACACTAAAAGTATCGGTATTTGCAACTCTTCCACTGTATTTTTTATTAAAATTATTCTTTCATTTTTACGATTTACACGGGGCATGTCAAAACATATATTTGTTAGGTTATAGGCTATAGTGAGGTACACTCTAGAGGGTACAACCCAATTAGGGTTCACTACTTGTATCTCATTGTATCTCACAAACATTCTCATTCCACTGTCCTAACTTCAACATGGTTTCACAGCTGGATTTCGATCCTAGCGTAGCTTAGCATCGGTAGGTCGCGCCTCGCCCTGTAGCAGGCCGCGACCTGCCCTGCCACTCCCCCGTGCGATACCCTGCTGCGCGCTGCCCTGCCGCGCGCTACCCTGCCGCGCGCTGCCCTGCCGTGCGCTGCCTTGCCGCGCGCTCCCCTGCCGCGCGCTGCCCTGCCGCGCGCTCCCCTGCCGCGCGCTGCCCTGCCACGCGCTGCCCTGCTGCGCGCTGCCCGCGCACTGTCCTGCCGCGCCTGCCTGCGCGCACTCCCCTGCCGCGCCTGCCCTGCGCGTTGCATCTACTAGCGCGCGCTGCCCGTGCTGCCCCGCGTAACCTGCTCTGCCGCGCGGCCCCACGCACGTTGCCCCGCGTGCGCTGGTGCGCTGCTGCTCGTGCTACCGCCAGCAACCGCCCGTGCTGCTTTGTGCTGCAGCCCGCGCTGCCCCGCACTGTCGCCTGAGCTGCTGCGCGCCGAGCCGCCCTGCTGAGCTGAGCCGTCCTGCCGAGTGTGGGAAAATGGATGCTTGTATTAAGAAAGTTGGGGGTATACATACCGTATTCCCCCGGATAAAACACCCGGGGGTATTATGATAACCACTGGGAAAAAATGGGGGGGGTCTCCTCAACGGAAAAAACAAAAATAATACCCGGGTGGTTATATATGGCACTTTTTAGTGTAAGAAAAAAAATTAATTAGACAATTTGGGTGTTTCAATAGTCGTTATAACATCACAGGTTGAGGCGAGAATTCGAGTTTTGGCGAGAATGTGAGTTTCACCTCTCGGGCCACGTGCAGCGGAAGATTCGCCAGCGTGGCGACAGCGAGATTGTGGGAGGGAGGGAATCTCGGTAGATTCGAAGTGAAAGTGCACGCGAAATTTCATTCAGGGAGCGATTTTCGTCATATCCTCCCGTAAAAAATCTGACTCGATAACAGCTATAATAGGGTTTCGTAAGAAAAGGGGGGTGTTATAGAGAATCACCCCAAAAGGGGGGGTATAGTACCAACGGGGTCAAATATAACACCCCCCCCGCACAAGCTACCCGGGGGTGTACAATTCGGGGTGGGTGTTTTATCCGGGGGAATACGGTAGGTGAAAATGAGAAGGGGGTTGGATGCTAACCTAGGTTGGCATTATTGGACCCCAACCAATAATGTTGGCCAAGTTGGGGTTGGGCTACCATTATCGGAGAGAACCAATAATTCTACCCAACCCAACCTTTTGGGGTCCAATCATTGAACAAGGTTGGGTTCCAACCTCACAACCGGGTTACCCCTGGTTGTACACCCAAAGTAAGTTTGGGTGCTTATCCCTAGCCTATCCTATAGCATATATGCAGGTTACAAGAGGAGAGATATTCTAACACAACCCCTTTGTCAAAGTATAAATGTCTTATATGTTTGTAGGCTGTAGTGGGGTAGCCAACATGGGGTACAACCCCAACTAGGGTTTCCTATTTGTACCCTTGCTTCTTTCAATCCAACCATTCCTGTCTCTAGATTTCAACATGGTATTCAGAGCAGGAGGTCCCTAGGACCTCAGGATTGTTTTTTTTAGGGCCCACCAACTACTGCCTGCGGTTACCGTGCTACCCCACGCCCTAGCCTGCCTGCCTGCCTGTCGCGCTGCCCTGCAGCCCCGCGCGCCGCCCGTCGCTTTGCCCTGCAGCCCCGCGCGCGCTCTGCCCTGGCCCGTCGCGCTGCCCAACAGCCCCGCGCGTCGCCCGCTCCGCTGCCCCGCAGCCCCGGCACGCATTTCCGCCCGCGCGCAGCCCGTACTGCCGCCCGCACGGCCCGCGCAGCCCGCCCTGAGCCACGCCTGCCCGCGCACGGCCCATCCCACCGCCCGCGCAGCCCGCGCCGAGCCGCGCGCAGCCCGCGCCCCAAGCCACGCACAGCCCGCTGCTGCCGCGCGCAGCCCGCGCCGAGCCCGCGCAGCCCGCGCAGCGTCGAGTGCAGCCCGCTGCTGCCTCGCGCAGCCCGCGCGCGGCCCGTAGCAGCCCCGCGCGCTGTCCCGCGCAGCCCGCGCTGAGCCCGCGCGGCCCGCGCAGCCCGCGCCGAGACGCGCGCAGCCTGCTGCTGCCCCGCGCACCACTCGCGCGGACCCGCCCGGCCGCAGAAGCGGCCCCGACCTGCCACTGACGTGGCCTAGCCCTGCAACTGCCTCGGCCCCGACCTGCCGCTGAAGCGGCCCCGCCCTGCAGCTGCCGCGGCCCTACTCTGCAGCCGCTGTTGCGGCCCCGCCGTCGCCGCCGTCGTGCGCCTACCCGGCCGCCGCCCGCCGAGCGCCGGCCCTGCCCGCCCGACGAGCGCCTGCCCTTCCGGCCTTTGCTGTCGCGGCCCCGCCTGGCCCCACCCTGTCGCTGACGCCGCACCGCCCTACAGCCAACGCGACCCTTCTCTGCAGCTGCTTTCGCGGCCCCCACTGCCCGTCACTGGTGAGCACTTGCCTGCATGCCTGCCTAACTGCCTGCCTGCCGGCCTGCTGGCCTGCCTGCCTGCCTGTCTGCCGGCCTGCCTGCCTGCCTGCCTGCCTGCCTGCCTGCCAGCCTGAGTGCCTACCTGCCGGCCTGCCGGCCTGCCTGCCTGTCTGCCGGCCTGCCTGCCTGTCTGCCTGCCTGCCTGCCTGCCGGCCTGCCGGCCTGCCTGCCTGCCTGCCTGCCTGCTTGCCTGCCTGCCTGCCTGCCTGCCTGCCGGCCTGCTTGCCTGCCGGCCTGCCTGCCTGCCTGCCTGCCTGCCTGCCTGCCTGACTGCCTGCCTGCCGGCCTGCCTGCCTGCCTGCCTGCTTGCCTGCCTGCCTGCCTGCCTGTCTGCCTGCCGGCCTGCCTGCCTGCCTGCCTGCCTGTCGCACCTACCCTGCCCACGCTGCTACTTCTGCTGGCGGTAGTACGTTGCAGCCCCAGCAACTTACGCGCGAGTCCCTCACACCCCGGCAGCTTCATGAGTGGTACATTAGTTGGGGTTGTGGAGGTAGTCGTCGTGGCTGTCGCCCTGGCGCTGGTCAGACGGGAGCGTCTTGCAGTGGCCAGCTGCAGCTGCAGCGGCGTCCGCGCGAGACACTTACGCCCCAGCAGCTTGAGGAGTGGTACACTCAGAGTAGAGGGTCTCGGAGTACCGCTCGCTGCCAGTACGTCATTCGCACAGGTGCTCGGACTGGTCAGGCTTGCGGGACCCTTGGCCACACACAGTCCCGTTGTTTCGCCCGTCTGAGCGACGCCTGGCGTACCGAGTTTGGCGACGCGGCTGAGCTCCCCACCTGGCTGGAGCTGCTTAGGCAGAGGGTAGATATCTTTGCTCTTGACTATGATGCTATTCTCACTGCCATGTATGCGTTGCCTACTAGTGCTGATGGTGCCTGTTACCTGTGCGTACCGCCTGACCCAGGTATAGAGCCTGCTGCTCTCGGTGCTGGTGAGGCTGCTGCTCTAGGTGCTGGTGAGGCTGCTGCTCCGGTTACTCGTGCGTCTCCTGCCCTAGGTGCTGGTGAGTCTGCTCTCTCTGGTACTGTGCCTGGTGAGACCTTGTACACCTTCACTCTTGACTCCGGTGCTTCCCGCTCCTTCTTTCGCGACTGCACCACACTCACGCCGCTTAGTCGGCCCGTTGCAGTCTCCCTCGTGGACCCCTCTTGGGGTCCAGTCCTTGCCCACTACTCCACGGTTCTGCCGTGTCCGACCGACCCGTCTGGCTCGCTGTCCGGTCTCTACCTCCCCTCGTTCTCTACGAACTTGGTGAGTGGAGCTGACCTCCAGGATGGCGGGGTTGACCAGTTCACTCCTGCGAGTCAGCGAGTGACCCACTGTACGTGTGCTCGGACGGGCCGACACCTTGCCACGTTTACCCGTGCGCCTGGCTCGAGTCTGTACACCCTGACCACTGCGTCTCCTCAGGTAGCTGCGTCTGCGTCTGCGTCGGGTCAGCTAGCGCCCCCCTGCTCGTGTCGCGCTTTGTCGCACCAGACCCTCCTTTGGCACCACCGCCTTGGTCACCCCTCGGTGCAGCGCCTTCGCAGCATGCACCGCCGTGTCCTTGTCTCTGGTCTTCCCAGGGTTCTCCCTCCCCTCCCACCCTCGCCTGCTCCTCCCTGTCTTCCCTGTGTCGAGGGGCGGCAGCGCGCCGCTCCTCACTCCTCCTCTTTTCCTCCCACAGAGGCTCCACTGCAGACTCTCCACCTGGACGTGTGGGGCCCGGCCCGCGTCCAGGGACAGGGCCGCGAGCGGTACTTCCTGCTGGTAGTCGACGACTACACGCGCTACACCACGGTCTTCCCCTTGCGCAGCAAGGGGGACGTCCCTGCTGTTTTGATCCCCTGGATCCGCGCTACTCGTCTCTTGCTCAGCGAGCGGTTCCAGTCGGACTTTCCTGTCTTGCGTCTGCACTCTGACCGAGGTGGTGAGTTCTCCTCCGACCTCTTACGAGCCTTCTGTGAGGAGCACGGCATCACCCAGTCGTTCACGCTTCCGGCCTCTCCGCAGCAGAATGGGGTTGCTGAGCGCCGCATTGGCTTAGTCATGGAGGTCGCTCGTACCTCCATGATCCATGCGGCTGCCCCCCATTTTCTGTGGCCGTTTGCGGTCCGGTACGCCGCGCATCAGCTCAACCTCTGGCCCCGTGTCTCCTTGCCGGAGACCTCGCCCACACTGCTGTGGACGGGGGAGGTTGGCGATGCGTCGCGTTTCTGGGGTGCTCGTGCCTTTGTCCGTGATACCACCGCGGACAAGCTCTCCGCTCGCGCTGTTCCTTGTGTCTTCC